GTATCTTTTTAATTTTTTCTGAACTTAACGAGTTTATGCTAATATTAATTAATATTAGATACGTCTGTGTATAAATAATATCTTATTGTTAGATGGGCCATTACAACGATCGAGGGTTTAGGTAACAGGCGAGATGGTTACAACACAATTCAAGCTACGCTGGCCGAAAAAAGTGGCTCACAATGCGGATATTGCTCTCCTGGCATGGTTATGAATTTATACAGGTAGGCATCCGGGACAAAAATTAATCGATTTCATTATGAGAAAATATTGTAAACGTATTCTATCTTCTCGCAAGTTAAAATCTTCTTGGGACTTTGTCGTTATGACAGAAAACTATACAACGCAGCTTTGACTTTTTTTATTAATGCAAAGATATCATAAATTTTAGAATCGCTTTTATACTCAACAGTGCGCGCCAAACTGAATTAATGCAGGGTTATTTATATTTTCCAGTCTCATTGATAACCAAAAGGTGTCTATGCAGCAAATCGAAAATTCGTTCGGTGGCAACATTTGTCGATGTACTGGATATCGTCCAATTTTGGATGCGTTCAAGGGGTTTGCTGACGATGCACAGCCATCAATGGTGAAGGACATTCGCGACATTGAGGTATACTTGTGTGAAAAATTTAACTATTATTGCAAAATTCGTATTTTGGAATTTTACTATTAATTTCATTTTACTTTTACAGACAAAGTTTTATCTCGCTTCTCTTCTAACAATTATTAGAACTAGTACTTCATGTATATACAAGAATTATTTTTATATTTTGTTCTATTTACATTCTGTTGTAAGTTGTAGTGAATTGTAATCAAGTATATTTCACAGGAGTTGTACAAGATAAAAGCTTGCCCGAAGTACGGAATTTCGTGTGCAGGTAGTAGCTGCGATGAAAAACTTTCCGATGAAGACACAATAGATATAAAGTTAGCAGACTCAGAATTCTACAAAGTTTATTCTATCGACGATCTTTTCAAAATATTTCAACAGAACCCGAGTGCTACGTATATATTAAATGGAGGAAATACTGCACACGGTAATTTTCCCTCATTAAGGTGATATAGATACTAAACGTTCGTCCAAAGTGCTAATAATTTTTTTCCATTTGGGTAGCCTTACTAAGCGAACCCAATGATACAATAAGAACACATTTATAGTTTTGATATCTGAATATTAAAAGTCTAATTTGCAGGTGTTTATCGCTCAAGCAAAAAAGCTCTTTGCATTGATATAAACGACATCCCGGACTTGCATCGCATCGAAAAGACTAAAGAGTCACTGATTCTGGGCGGAAACATATCCCTCGCTACGGCGATGGAGACTTTCCGAAAGTATTCATCCACGAGCGGATTTCAGTACCTGGATCGCTTGGCCCAGCATATCGATTTGATTGCCACCGTGCCCGTGCGTAATATCGGCAGCATCGCCGGTAATCTAATGATCAAGCATGCACACCACGAGTTCCCGTCCGATTTGTTCTTAATACTGGAGACAGCCGCTACTCAAGTACATATTCTAACAGCACCGGGTGCCAAAAAGAGTATGATGCTGATTGATTTCTTAGAAACAGATATGCGCCATAAGATCATCTATAGCGTGGTGTTGCCGGCGCTATCCAACGATTACGAATACAGATCCTACAAGATCATGCCTAGGGCCCAGAACGCTCACGCTCACGTAAACGCTGGCTTCCTCTTCAGACTCGACGGAAGCGGCAAGGTAACAGAAATTTTTCTAATTATTCGTATTTGCGCATATACTATCTTGAATTACTCGTTCAACATATTTGCAATAATTCACGAAAAGGTACTGGAGAAGCCTAACATCATCTTCGGTGGCATCAATAAGAATTTTTTACACGCAAAAAATACAGAGCAAGTACTGGTTGGTAAATGTATCCTCGACGAGCAAGTGCTGAAGACAGCCCTGGAAACATTAGATAACGAGCTGAAACCTGATCATGTGCTGCCGGATTATTCGCCGGAATTCCGCAAGACTCTTGCTGAAGGATTATTCTATAAATTTGTCTTGAGCATCAAACCGGAGAATGTGAATTCAAAACTTCGCAGCGGAGGTTCCCTGCTAGAACGAGGTCTCTCTTCAGGTACGTATAAAGCACAAGCGTATAGACCAGTAGACTTTTCAAAATATGTCTTTATCCTATACATATTCTTACGTGTGCTTGAGAGGTGGGAATTATCTTATAATTTTTATTTAATTTTCTATTTCTCATTGACTTCCGTTAATTTCATTTACACAACTGAAACCTTGAGATTTTAAAAATCAACTTCTGAAAATCATCCAAGTTCCTTTCATGTATTTTTCTATAAAATACTCGGTCAACATATTTGCTTCAAAATACTTCAAAATAAATAATCTTAAATAGATTTCTACTAACAAAAAAATTGTAAACCGTACAATACCTAAAAAGATTATTATTTAAAACAAAAGTCTTACTGTTGACTTTATAAAATAAAGTTGATGTTAAAAAATAGAAAATATAGACGCGTTAAAAGTATCGTAAACTATTTTTTTTAATTCGTGGAATATTCTAATTGATTATCCTAATTGCGCCCGAAAAAACATTGTCATTCTAGGTTCGCAGGACTTCGATACGGATGAGTCAGAGTGGCCCGTGAGTAAGCCTATACCGAAATTAGATGCTATCAAACAGACGTCGGGCGAGGCACAATATTGCAATGATCTACCTCCATATCCTCGAGAAGTATTTTGTGCTTTTGTCCTTACGAAAATCGGTAACGGCAAAATCGTCAGTATAGATGCGAAGAAGGCACTTACTATGAAGGGTGTAGTGGCGTTCTTCAGCGCCAAGGACATACCGGGAAAGAATCTATTTATTTCGGCCGCCAGCAAGATGATCTTCTTGCAGCAGGACGAGTTGCTTTTCGCCGCTGAGGATGTTTTGTATACTGGTCAGCCGGTCGGCGTGATCGCCGCGGAGACGCATAGTTTGGCAAACGAGGCCGCAGAATTGGTGGAAATTAAATATACCAATCCTCTGCAAACAAAGCCGGTGATAAGCATCGAGGATGCACTCGCCACGCAGGACAACACTAGGTTTATGCAGAGTGTCAATACTCCAGCGAAGAAGAAAGGTAGAAA